AAGTAAAGAATCGTCTTAGAATTTGGCAGTGTTGTAAAAGAATTTGTCAGTTTTTTCATGTAAAGAGTCGTTCAAAAGTTTGTCAGTGTCAAAGTATTTGACAGCTTTGTCAAGTAAAGAATCGTCCAGGAATTTGTCAGTGTTATCAAGTAAAGAATCGTCCTAGAATTTGGCAGTTTTGTGAAGGAATATGGCAATGTTATGAAGGAATTTGTCAGCTTTGTCAAGTAAAGAGTCGTTCAAAAGTTTGTCAGTGTCAAAGTATTTGACAGCTTTGTCAAGTAAAGAATCGGCCTAGAATTTGGCAGTTTTGTGAAGGAATATGGCAGTGTTATGAAGGAATTTGTCAGCTTTGTCAAGTAAAGAGTCGTTCAGAAATATGTCAGTGTTATCAAGTGAAAAATCGTCTAGGAATTTATCACTGTTGTCAAGTAAAAATCATCATAGAATTTGACAGTGTTTTGAAGGAATTTGTCAACTTTGTCAAGTAAAGAATCGTCCAGGAATTTATCAGTGTTGTCAAGTAAAGAATCGTCTTAGAATTTGGCAGTGTCGTGAAGGAATTTGTCAGCTATGTCAAGTAAAGACATGTCCAGGAATTCGTCATCGTTGTCAATCTGAGAAACATCCAAGAACTTGTCAATTTTGTCAAGTAAAGGATCGTCCATAAATATGTCAACGTTATCAAGGAATTTGTCAACTTTGTCAGATAAAGTGTTATGCAACAATCAAGTCAGCGTTGTCAAGAAATTTGTCAGCATTGTTAAGTCGAAAACTGTCAAGAAATTTTCCAGCTTTGTCAAGCAAAATATTATCAAGGAATCTATCAGCGTCGTCAAAACAATACTTATCAAAAAATTTGTCAGTATTATTAGTTAATCTTTCAGCTTCGTCGAGTAAAAGATCCTTTAAGAATTTGTCAATATAAAATCAAGAATCATCAAATGCACCAATTGCATAAACCTATTCAGTCTCTCACTTGTCAAATCGACGAATTCCATAAACCATCTTCGAGTCGAGAAACAAAAGATTTCAAAATTAACATACACTTCAGAATCAATATAAAATTCCGAAAATTCGAGAATCGAAGGAAACTTGATGTGACTAATTAAAATAACTTGTAATTATAATTTGAACCACCCATAGCTTTGAAATACCCATCAGACTTTACCCTCGCTCTTCAATTTTTACTTTTATTCCGCTCTTATCTACCCCTAACGGCGATGTATACATGACTGACTAGAACAAGACCTCTCTTCTATTAATACGCATTTGTACTAAAACCTCGTCATCTCTGGACGAAATTATCTTCGGTTATCTTCGACGAAACAGGCAATAATCTACTGACGTGATGCTTTTGGCAATCGCTGTAAGCTCGGAGATATCTCGCACGATAAAGAGCGATCTACTTGTTTTACGTGACCGTTCTTGGTTAACGCGTGAAAGCATGGCGCATATTGCGTGCACCATGATGACGGTTCGTAAGGTCGTCTGTTAGGGGTGGGCAAGGTGGATAAATGAATAGAAAACGTGTCGCTACATCGTTCCCGTAGCGGAGCACCATACTCCGCCGATTATTTCGCTCGACCATTCGAAATGTCCATTTTATATCGCGAACGTAATGAAACGTCGCGTACGACCTCGCCGAGCTATTTAAACCGTTTTACGGCTAATAAATCGACCGATATGCCGGATGAAAATCGAAAATCGTATCGCCGATCTGTAATTCCCGCGGATCTTTATTTTTAGATAACCGGTTTTGAACGTTTCTCGCGAAACACGTCCGCCAAGATGACTAATAAAACGATTCACCCGGAATGACGAGACTCGCGGAACAACGAGCAACGTCTCTATCTCGAGAGGTCTGTCGAGTTTCCCGACTACTTCCCCATCGATCACGAAAACCCATTAACGACCATTTTCCCTGCCTTTTGCTTTCAAACGATACCTCGACAGCCACTTCGAATTTGCAAGCAACATTTCATTATTTCGAGCCGATTGAGCACTCTCTCCCCCGAACTGATTGGAATAATAGAGATTGAAAGAACACGGAATCGATATCGTGCAAACGGACCGGTAAGAATAACCCAGTGTCTTTAATAGTTATTAACACTCAACCTAACATCGCCTAAATGACCGTTTTCCAGAGTTTTTATTCAAATTTCCCTGTTTAATGTCAAAGCCTTCGCGATCTTTCCCCGATATTACGCGTAATTGATCTTTCAAAATGTCTCCCTTTGTGCTATTTTTTAAAATTTAAGTATTTTAATTCATCGGTCATTTGATCGTGATAAGTTTGGTGTCAAACGCTGATCGAAAACGCGATATTTGGAAAGTTCAGAGAGGAAGACACGAAGTGCCCGAATTTTCTTTTCTTTTTTTTCCTTTTCTGTGCTTAAGGTTATAAAATCTTCGCGATTTTTCGTGTTATATACGTGTAATCGATGTTTCGAAATGTCTCCCGTTGTTCCTTTTTCGAAAAATCCTACCGCGTTTTCATTCACCGATGAGTTGACAGCGGTTAGGTTTGACATGAGTTTTTCTGACGATTGACAGTCGCGAAGTGACCGATTTTTATTTCTATCTCTTTTTCGTATATTTTTTATCCTTTCTACGCCTTTTCCTAAGCGGAATTCCATCGGATCTTCTTTTGCTAGCCGATTTAATTTTCTCGTACTCGCGCGACGTTTCGATCTGGCTTCCCGTTATTACACCAAATTTTCTATTCATTTATCTGCAACGTGGGGTACATATACACGTCCGCGGACACGTACGCTTACATTCGACAGACATGCATTCACCACTGCTCTACACGGAATAAGGAGGAATTTTCTGCTGACTTACCGAACGGAAGCTCCAAGCGGCAGTCTATGAGCAGCGAGTGGCCGGTCGGCTTTTTCGTGCCGACGATTTCGGCACCTCTCATCTCGAGCTCCGAGTCCAGGCTCACCCATTGTCCGGAACCCTCCTGGAACGAGAACCGGATGTAAGTCGAAGATTGGTCACGGCAGGTACCGGGACATGACAGCGGCGCGTTCGCAGTGCGATCGAACGGGGATCAGAAATTATTGGCGAAATATCGAGCTTCTAAGGACTGCAGGAATAGCATAATCATAAATGCGAGCAATGAGTGGTTGCTTGGTAGCGTGAGTGAACGCAAATTAAATTCATTGACAGACGAGTGAGAGTAATTATTAAGCTTCTCAGAGTTGACAGGGACAGTTGAAATTTGGGTGTCGAAAATAATAGAAATATATTTTGTCATTTTATCAGGAAGACAAGCAGAAGCTGTCATGAATGGAATTATTGACGTATGTCGAATACTGTCAATTTATATTGAACTTTATATCGAAATTATTGACAGCCAAGATGTTGACACTTGCAAAAGGAGATACAGATTTTCATAGCAAAATAGTTTATAATATGCCTGGTAAAATATAGATAAATAAAAATGACCGAAATTGCAAGTGACTTACTAGATTATTATTAATCTGCCAAGGATAGAAGGCTATTAGATGCATCTAAAATAAGCGATGAGATGACAGCATAGGCCCACTATAGAGATACCTCACTATAAGTTTCAAAAAATACAAACATAGGAAGGAAAAATATTTATCGACTACCAATACTCTGTCAATTCATGTCAAAATAAATATTTTGTCCTTATCACATATTTTATCCTAAACACATACACATCTACAGTTAGAAATACAGCAGTGCGAGTATACTCCATGGTAGTAATAATGATATTAAAAATTCTACTATTTGTTTGCATTAATTTAGATTCTACGTCCAAGCTATGCACCTGTTCGCAATTATGTTCAAAATGTCAGAATATGAAATAAAAATATTTCCTACCACAGTAATGTGCCATGATAACAAAAATATTTCTAAAATTGTAAGCTTGATAGCAATACATCTGCTGTCATCAAAATTTGATACCCTAAATGACAATATGCACACTACTCGTGTAGTTACACCATTAATGACGCGGCAGAAAAGCGTTTTGACTAACCTCTGCATCGTCAATCGCTAATGCCGACTACAAAGTTAGACACAAACCTAACCTAGAATCCACGAACGAATCCACAAGAAAAATAACACGTAAGTTACACCATTAATGACGCAGCAGAAAAGCGTTTTGACTAACCTCTGCATCGTCAATCGCTAATGCCGATTACAAAGTTAGACACAAACCTAACCTAGAATCCACGAACGAATCCACAAGAAAAATAACACGTAATTAACGGTAAATCAAACGCAACTTAAGATTCATCTGAAACCGAAGCTATGTCAAAACCGTGTCACTTTGACGCCTACTCCCTGTCATAGACGCGCGTATGCTCCCGATCCTCCACGAGTCCATCCCTGACCTACGATCACGTTCGACCATTTAACGCGAGTACGATGCAACGCGTGCATATAATAAACAAACGATCGTTAGTAAGCATGAGTCTCGACTACGCTAAATTCCCCTAATGCAGCCATCTGAATTCCAACCTGACCACGTGCCGGTGAGAATCAGCGGCGTCGCTGGTACCAACGAGTATCAATCGATGAACGCTATGTTTCCACGCTTAAATAACGTTACGAATAAATTAGTAGCATCACCGATCTGCTGGAATCTCAATGGGAGATTGTTCGTTCGATGTATGAAGATATAAAGCAGGTGTCCGCGTATATGGCCGATAATTAAATCTGACGATTGACAGTCGCGAAGTGACCGATTTTTATTTCTATCTCTTTTTCGTATATTTTTTATCCTTTCTACGCCTTTTCCTAAGCGGAATTCCATCGGATCTTCTTTTGCTAGCCGATTTAATTTTCTCGTACTCGCGCGACGTTTCGATCTGGCTTCCCGTTATTACACCAAATTTTCTATTCATTTATCTGCAACGTGGGGTACATATACACGTCCGCGGACACGTACGCTTACATTCGACAGACATGCATTCACCACTGCTCTACACGGAATAAGGAGGAATTTTCTGCTGACTTACCGAACGGAAGCTCCAAGCGGCAGTCTATGAGCAGCGAGTGGCCGGTCGGCTTTTTCGTGCCGACGATTTCGGCACCTCTCATCTCGAGCTCCGAGTCCAGGCTCACCCATTGTCCGGAACCCTCCTGGAACGAGAACCGGATGTAAGTCGAAGATTGGTCACGGCAGGTACCGGGACATGACAGCGGCGCGTTCGCAGTGCGATCGAACGGGGATCAGAAATTATTGGCGAAATATCGAGCTTCTAAGGACTGCAGGAATAGCATAATCATAAATGCGAGCAATGAGTGGTTGCTTGGTAGCGTGAGTGAACGCAAATTAAATTCATTGACAGACGAGTGAGAGTAATTATTAAGCTTCTCAGAGTTGACAGGGACAGTTGAAATTTGGGTGTCGAAAATAATAGAAATATATTTTGTCATTTTATCAGGAAGACAAGCAGAAGCTGTCATGAATGGAATTATTGACGTATGTCGAATACTGTCAATTTATATTGAACTTTATATCGAAATTATTGACAGCCAAGATGTTGACACTTGCAAAAGGAGATACAGATTTTCATAGCAAAATAGTTTATAATATGCCTGGTAAAATATAGATAAATAAAAATGACCGAAATTGCAAGTGACTTACTAGATTATTATTAATCTGCCAAGGATAGAAGGCTATTAGATGCATCTAAAATAAGCGATGAGATGACAGCATAGGCCCACTATAGAGATACCTCACTATAAGTTTCAAAAAATACAAACATAGGAAGGAAAAATATTTATCGACTACCAATACTCTGTCAATTCATGTCAAAATAAATATTTTGTCCTTATCACATATTTTATCCTAAACACATACACATCTACAGTTAGAAATACAGCAGTGCGAGTATACTCCATGGTAGTAATAATGATATTAAAAATTCTACTATTTGTTTGCATTAATTTAGATTCTACGTCCAAGCTATGCACCTGTTCGCAATTATGTTCAAAATGTCAGAATATGAAATAAAAATATTTCCTACCACAGTAATGTGCCATGATAACAAAAATATTTCTAAAATTGTAAGCTTGATAGCAATACATCTGCTGTCATCAAAATTTGATACCCTAAATGACAATATGCACACTACTCGTGTAGTTACACCATTAATGACGCGGCAGAAAAGCGTTTTGACTAACCTCTGCATCGTCAATCGCTAATGCCGACTACAAAGTTAGACACAAACCTAACCTAGAATCCACGAACGAATCCACAAGAAAAATAACACGTAATTAACGGTAAATCAAACGCAACTTAAGATTCATCTGAAACCGAAGCTATGTCAAAACCGTGTCACTTTGACGCCTACTCCCTGTCATAGACGCGCGTATGCTCCCGATCCTCCACGAGTCCATCCCTGACCTACGATCACGTTCGACCATTTAACGCGAGTACGATGCAACGCGTGCATATAATAAACAAACGATCGTTAGTAAGCATGAGTCTCGACTACGCTAAATTCCCCTAATGCAGCCATCTGAATTCCAACCTGACCACGTGCCGGTGAGAATCAGCGGCGTCGCTGGTACCAACGAGTATCAATCGATGAACGCTATGTTTCCACGCTTAAATAACGTTACGAATAAATTAGTAGCATCACCGATCTGCTGGAATCTCAATGGGAGATTGTTCGTTCGATGTATGAAGATATAAAGCAGGTGTCCGCGTATATGGCCGATAATTAAATTCGGCGCGGTCATATATCCGGAGGTGTGGATTTCCAAGAATCGCTTAATTTTCGAGTAACTGTGAGGGATGATACTAATTATATTTTATTCCTCCTTCGTGCAAATTTTCTTCACACACTCGTTACAATTTTCTGACTTAGAACGTCGGGAACGTCTTAATTACAGAAACGAGTTAGGTATATGTATACAATATTTAAATTGAAAAATTGAAACTGACGACGAATTGGAATGTACCTGGATGAGAAATAATTTATAATATCACTTCACAAGTATACGACATGAACTATTACAATACCCAAATGAAGTTGCACATGACACAATTTGACACAATCTGCAATTCGCTTCTTTCATACCGATTATGTTTCGTATTTGAAACTGATTTATCTGCGAAATTAATTAATTCGAATAAGCCACTATACGTTCATTATACAACAACTTGCATTTCACCTAACCTGTTGTAACTTCTCGGGATTGAATTACAAAGAGCTTACTGCAACGTGCAGGGAACTGTGCACAATTATACAGAATATGTAAGAATATGTAAAGTTTATTATCAGTGAAATGCACACTTATGGAAATACAAACAATGTAGCTGTTCCTAAGCGTTGTCACGACTTGCGTGCCCTATACTGAACGTTTCCACAAAACAGAATGACTTTTGACCCTAAAACCCAGAAAACGTGTGCCCTTAACGCTAACGCGATAGCAAAAGTCTTTGAGACCCAAAAATCCATAGTACCATGCAACGTCTAGCATGGTACTAGTCTGTACGGTACTAGTCTACTGGTCTAGCCTGACATCATCGTTGCTCTGTCATGGTTTATTCTAAACGAGTAAATATACTCCAAATCGCGTTATGTTTCATCTGACGTTAATTCATCAGTCTGGTTGCTACAAGGCTAACTCGCTAGCAGAAATTTTCGGTAGCAAAAATTCGACGACGAAATGGTCAGCAGTGTCAGAAATCAGTGGTCCCAACTCGCTGCCATATAATCGGACACCGCGTTAATTCGTTCTCGGAGCAATCTCTCGCGTTGAGTTGAACCCCGCAGCGTGGCACCGGTTCGGTTGAACGGGATGCAATTATTAGATAGGGGCTGGGCGTAATTTACGTAACCGAAGTTACTCGGCCGAGACCATTCTTTGCGCCTGGTGTACGTGTGGAAGGTGTACACGCTGCACGCGTACACCGAGGATTAATGTCGGCGGTGGAGGCACCGGCGCGGACTAGTAATGGCCATGTACCACGGCTAAAGGCACATAACACGTGTACATAAATTCTGGAAAGGTCTCTTTCCGTGCCTCCGCCGTTTCGTGCTCTCAGAAATGAGCTGCGAAGCATGGCTATCAAAGTGCACGCGCGGCTGTTTGCAAATGGCATGCCGTAATTAAAGCAATTCTCTTTTATCCGCAGCTGCCGCCGGCTGCGACTTGCAATCGCAGCGAACACCGGCTACGTCGTATTTCTCTGGGCACCGTACGTTCCGTCTTCGTTATTCGTAACCTGGCCCGACGATTAGGCAGCCTCCATAACCGGGTCCACGATTTCGTTCGGCTGAAACGTGACGTTGGACACGGTAGTCTTCGACTCTCACAAGTGCTACCTTCTAGTGACTGTTTTGGGATGTAAAGAAGACCCTTTACGAGATTTCTGACGTGATACTAGGTGTCTATCTTGACTGACGATGATCACTGATGGGCAGACCTGAGAGGTACTCTTCCAAGTTGAAAAACACGAGGCTATTTCTTCACACGAAGGAAGAAAAAGGATAAGATGGTGCATTTTGACAGGGGTTTGCTAGTAAACTCGTCACTAAAGCTATCCAGCAGACCTTAGAAGCGAAATATTATAGGAAAACCAAGAACTTCTAATTATGAAACGTGGAAGCCTTCGACTCCCGCAGAAGCTACCTCCCAGTGACTGTTTTGGGATGCAGAGAAGAGCCTAACCAGATTTTTGACGTGCCACTAGGTACCACACTAGGTGTCTATCTTGATTGACGATGATCACTGATGGACAGACCTAAGGCAAGCTCTTACAAATTGAAAAGAACGTGGCTATTTCATTAGACGAAGGGAGGAAAAGGATTGAATGGTGCGTTTTGACAGAGGTTTGCTAGTATACTCGTCACTGAGGCTATCTAGCAGATCCTAGAAGCGAAATATTATAGGTAAACCAAGAACTTCTGATTATAGAACGTGGAAGTCTTCGACTCTTACAAGAGCTACCTTCCAGTGACTGTTTTGGACCGTAAAGAAGACTCTGACAAGATTTCTGGCGTGACACTAGGTACCACACTAGGTGTCTATCTTGATTGACGATGATCACTGATAAACAGACCTAAGGCAAGCTCTTCCAAGTTGAAAAGAACGAGGCTATTTCATGAGACGAAGGGAGAACACTAGGTACCACACTAGGTGTCTATCTTGATTGACGATGATCACTGATGAACAGACCTAAGGCAAGCTCTTCCAAGTTGAAAAGAACGAGGCTATTTCATGAGACGAAGGGAGGAAAAGGATTGGATGGTGCATTTTGACAGGAGTTTGCTAGTATACTCGTCACTGAGACTATCTAGCAGACCTTAGAATCAGGATATCATAGGAAAACCAGGAACTTTTGTTTATAGAGCATAGAGGGTTCATCGAGTCACTTCCAGGTACCTCAATAATCCTAGAACCCTTTTGACAGAGAGTGCACGAATTATGGGGTTACTACAGACCCCAAAGGGAAAGTGTGATGGTTCTTCAACAGTCGAGGAGTGTATCTTTGATGGATCTAAGTGATGGACAACGTACTGATATTGATAGATTATATAAGATTCTTCTAAAGGGTGGTTCTTGAACAATCGTGGACTATATTTTTGACAGCTGTGAGTGGTGAGTCCTGCGTTGACAAGCTACTGCCTAGAACGCTTTATGACGTCTTGTGAGTTACAAAGTTTAGAGTTCACGAGAACTCTTGATAGGGCTAAGTATTTTTACACCAACTAATATATACAGGGTGTCCCAAAGAAACGTATATACACTTTAATACCTTATTCTTTCTAATTTATTTTTTACTTATTTATTTATATACTGTTTTTATAATCACACAAAGTATGTATACATTTTTTGGAACACCCTGTATACAATAATATATATAATAATATGTGTATGGTGGATTAATTTGGAGAAGTAAGAGGAGGAGGAACAAACAGATTTTTTGGTAAATGAGATGAATTATTGCCCCTTAAGTATTTTTCCTTCTAGATTAGTATATCCGACTAAACTTCATGGTTTGACAGTTTTATTTGACTCCAATTTTATTCCTTTTGGATATACGTGGAAGAAACACGAGACCAGACACCTGTGACAGGTAATTGAATATATTGCTCACTAATAATAACAATCGTGGTGGTATG